AGGAGCTCTGTTAAGTTTCAGCAGCAGCAAACCTGCGCTGCGAGGAGGAGAGGAGGATGGCAGCAAAGAGGAAGAACCTGGATATAAGAAATTGTTTTTCAAAGAAACCTGTAAGTCACTTAAAGTCAAGTTCACTCATAAAATGTGTCCGTCACAATAACGTTACAGGCTATGCTAGGCCATACATGCCAACACTCCGTGTTTCCGTGGGAATCCCGAATTTCAGTGCCCCTCCCCTCCCGAAAATCTCCCGATTTCCCACCTGGACAACAAAATTGAAAAACCATATCCCAGACTGGCCCAGCCAATTCCAGTTTCCAGCAATGGTTACTATTACTACAGCTACTTAGTTTTAATATGACTCTTATTTCTCTTTGTGGGTCGCAAAATAAACTTTTGACGTATTTTCAGGCGAGAATGTAGCTGAGTAAACTTCAAATATCTGAGCCGGTGAGAGCAGCAAACTCCCGGCACATCGTTTTCAAACGCGGTCTTTCGCTAAAGTTACTTAAATAACTTAAACATGTTATTGTTTGGCCTTTTTCAGTGTTTTATTTGTTCGTGAGTAAATCGATTTGGCTGAGATGAAAGTTATTAGATTAGATAAAACTTTATTAATCCCTCGGGTGGGTTCCTCCGGGGTTTTCACACAGCTGATTAAACAGAAGATGGTCGAGAATTTACGCCAGTGTCCGGTTATATTTTAGATAAAAAGGAGCAGACGGCAGTGTCACTCCACTGAGAGAGCTCGTGACGTAATTCTGAAGGCTGGATCATCACAGTCGCTCACTTCCGGCCTAACCGGCTTTCGGAGGACCCGCCCACTTAGACCGCGAAGGGCGGGTCCTCAGGTGGACGCAGCTTCCGAATTTGGACAATAATAACGGTGACATTTAAGTTATTTTATCCGATAAATAAACATTGTAAGATTCAAGTTTTTTGTATATATATATATATATATATACACACACATACCACTCCCACCCCCCAACAGCCTTTTTGAATTCTGTAGGCTTGGCCCACATCAGTCTAAAATTGTATGTAACCATGAATAACGTGATGTCCACCAGGAGAGACTGGACAGTATAGATGTTGTCCTTGCAGTACTTTTAATATTGATTATGTTTGTGCATATGAAGGTGACACATATCTGTGTGGTCTTAACATCTGTAATCCAGCTGTGACAGAGACAAAGAAGTGTAATGTGTGTGTCAGTGTGATGTGTTGTAGTGTCAGGAGTCAGTATACAGATGCAAAGCTTTTTGTTACACCCCAAATAGTTGATTCTATTCATCTGGATGTTGTCAGTGGGAGAAACATTTCGTCACTCATCCAAGTGTCTCGGATGAGTGACGAAATCTCTGGTAACGCAACATCCAGATGAACAGAATCAACTTTTGGGGATTTAGTCACCTGGATGACTGATCATGCCTCAAGAGTTTTTGTGAACCATAGACTTCAGGAAGGAAAATGTATTAGAAAAAAAAGTGCTACTATACTAGTTGGTTAGCAGACAGTCAAATACACCAAGGCAATAATTACTTCTTTTCATACATGTGTATAAAGTGTTCACAGTTTGAACTATTTGCCCATTTCTTGTCCCTCTCTCTGCTGCCAGATCACCCATCACC